TCATTAATACCTTGAATATCAGTTGGATGTGGAGTTTAAGAATAATTTTTAAAAGTTGACAAACTTAAAAATAATGATGAGCATTAAGGAACTCAAGTTGACGTATTCGGCAGACTGTAAAAGTCAGCAGAAGGAGTTGGTGCATGACTGTGTAACGGATTTCGAGAAAATATACGAGGAAAACATTATAAAGGAATTCAAGTATATTAAAGCGCAAATTGAAACGTTTACCCAAACCTCATCCCCCCTTATATCGATTTTTAATAACGTTCGAAATAAGGTTATGGACCTCAAGCACAACGTAGTTAGTGATTTGACAAAGTTAAAGGGCACTGTTAATAAAGCACTGAGAATTATGTGACAAAAGTTAGTGATGCAATGAAAAATGGCGCAAGGTCGGCAGATGTTAGTAGTGCTTTTGCAAACTTTGGTCAAGGTGTTCTGACTCAAACTGCCGACAACCCCGGTGTTAAGAAACTGGCTGCAACACTTGATAAGAGTCATTTGAAGAGCTGGTTTGAGGGCGTAAGAGATAATCTTGCACATGCCTTAGAGGGCGCATTATTTTCTCTTCAACAAATAGCCACCATGCCAAACTCTACCGGCCGACAACCGCTGGATCCCAAGCCTCTCATCGAAGCTCTCCAAGCCGACCTTATAGAAAAAGTGGAAACCGCATTTGGAAAAAATGGATGGACCTTTTCTATTACACTTGGACAAAATGATGTTATGAATGAATTCCATGCCGCCGAGCAAGCGATTAATGGGAGCGTTTCTCAGATAGGTACGCAATTAGCGAAACTAAAAAAACTCCCGGAAACTATTAATGATACAAGTGAGGAAGCCCAGAAAATTATGAAAGATATTAAAATACAATTCACCACACTGCAAGGCAAGATTGAGAATATTGAGGATAGTGTTAGTACAGCCGATAATGGGTTACAAAGGCTATTGACGCGCTTAGTAAAGCCGTGGAACAATCAAGGGTGTCCACAATTAGTGATTCTGAAATACGTAAAGGCACACTCCTCTCCCAAGTCCAACAATCCTTCTCCACCCTCACCTCCCAAGTCCAATCCCTCTTCGCGAAGCAGAAGCAGGCCGAGCTCACGCAGCTGCAGACCGTCGTCACGGCGCAGTTGGCGGAGATTGGAAGGATTATTGCGGAGGATAAAGCAACAGGGGTGAAGGGATTTTTGACGAGATTAAATGAAGGATTTGACGAGACGTTAGACATATCAACGCTGAATAGTAATACAACACTAGACGAGTTGGCGAGCAACGCTAAATTCTTTTTTTATGGACTCATGATTTACGTTGCAGATCAAGTCAAGACACCGAAACCAGATAAAACACCGCCAAAGAAGAGAATGATCAATCCCGTCAAGTTGATAAAATTCGAGACGGTGTTAATACGTTACTCAACAAACTTACTCACTTCAATAAGACATCCACTGATAACCTAACGTCACTTAAAATGTCACTTACTAACCTAACCCCTAAGAAATTTGACGGCAACAACAACAAATTGCTTGACCTAATTAGTGATGGTGTTGGTGATTTCATCAAGCAGTTAGAGTATGCTTACGTGAGTGCGTACTCCGGTCAACAGCTTGGTGATGAATTGCTTATTGACATAATGAGCTCTGTCACGAAGACATCAGAGTTAACACACGAGGGCAGAAACTGCTCTAAAGCGATTTGTTCTATTATAGACATCCTGTATCATGCATTCAACGACTTCAACTCCGGCATTTTGCATCCGGAGAGTTCATGGTCCAGCCAACGTATAAAATCGACTACCGATTTTGGTGCCTTTCTCAAACGTTCGGTTACCGTGTTCCGTCAAATCGTGACAACAATGATGGGGAACTCAAGAACAAAAATGACATGACCGGTAATGTAATTAAAGCTAAAATCGACGTGCGAATTAATGCCCAACTAGAGACGGTAGCGTCTTGGAAAAAAACTGATAGTGATATTTATTTCATGGACCTGCTTAACTTCCTATACCATGTGTTACATGCTTATTTCAGAGTATGCCATTACCAGATTTACGACCGACCAAGGCAACCGACCACCGTATCCCATATGCTCCAATGGCTTTCCGGACTCCGGTATAATTCCATGCTTCCCAAACTCGAAGCATACTTTAAGGAATTATTTCATAAGCCTGATAAATACAAAAATGACGATTATTCCACAATTCCTGCCTACGAACTAAGCCTAGTTGGTACCTCAATCATTACACCTATGCATCTATTTGATGAACTTGAAAAGGTTTGCCTTCACTCCGAAAAAACCCTGATCACCTTCCTTGGCTACGGCCACGCTGAGGGGACATATGCCTGCGAGTTTTCCAGTAACTCCTGAATTTACACTACCCTGGCAATCCCGCACAGTGCTTTGACATGCTAGTTGATATATTGCATAGAGTATGCCAGCAGCTGTGTTTCCTATTAATTCAGTGTACGCGAACTTCAGACGCATTTGCATGGAATGAGTGTTGGTATGGCAAAAGCGTAGGCGGGTCAGCGTGGCATTGTAACACTATGCAATGTCCTGAGCAAACAGGTGACCAAAAGGCCAACCAAAACAGTAACCAAACACATAAGCAAAGATGTAGCCAAAACTGTGAACAACGTGTTATGTGCGGACTAAAATCCCCTTTGCAGTCTTTCTTAGAAGATGGACTGCAGGGTTTCCTCCCTCATTCAATTACCTCTCCTGGCTGCAAACTGACATGTTCCCTAGGCAATCATTTCGGTAAACCGTGCCTCACTCCAATGGGTTTCGGGGACATCAGTGTTATAGCTTCGCACAGAAGTACCGGGAAACGTATTAAAGACGTTCTTGCTGACTTCTGTGGTGATTCAGAAAAGCCACTTATCAAACTTTGCAGCTACATGCTATGCCTTTTGCGCACTCCTCCCAAGTCATTAGGCGATATGTTCGCGTTCTACTACAATTTCATCCTATGCTGGGGTTTGAAGGGTAATGATCATAAGAGTGATGCCTTTAAAAAGGCGGTCGCCAAAGCATATTTCGGGGAAACATATCCCAAATTAGACATTACTTCAATGTTCCGCTCGCAGCATCATGCAGCGGATAACCATCCCAAAGGTGACCTTTTTTCTCTATTTAGTTGCGATAATAAGGAATCGTCCGCGACAACCTGCGGTCGTTACTTGAAACCTATTAGCTTAAAAACATGGACTGTCTTCTCAGAAAAGAATGCCGATAACTACCTTTCGTGGGTTTTATATCTTACCGAGACATTCTACAATCTCCTCGATCAACTGTGGAAAGAATGTTGCGATAACTGCAATAAACCAGGCACCAGGTGCCACGGTAATACCTGTTATAAAAATTGTCAGACGTTGCAAAATCCTCCACTGCCTGCTAGTGCGAAGCATCACACACTGTGCAAATCCATAGCTCAATGCCCATTCACACGTCCAACAATATGTACATACGGCTTCGTAATTAAAAGCTCATCGAACCTTAGCGACGAAAACGGCGTAGAAAATAAGCGCACGTGCAAAGATTTCTGTAGAACACTAGAGAACGTTCTAAGTAAAGTAAAAGACAAGAATGATGTACTTGCCAAGTTGGTATTTGAGACAATACCTGAATATTTGTGGCAAATACGTCTCCCATTCTCATACCTCTTATTAGCCCTCTGGTCGCTGTCGCTCCTGTACCTGCTGCACATCGCCGTCGTCCGCCTCGACGTCCTCAGGATACGCTCCCACCTAAAAACACCCTCAAGCCACCGCATCGCCGCGCAGTCCCTCCTCGCCGCCGCACGCGTCAAGGCACTCGCCAACGTCAAGTACTTCTCACCGTAATCGTGCCTTCACGTGTGATCTGTGTATCACTCACCCACTCACTCAACCACTCAACCACTCAACCACCCACTCACCCACTCACCTGATCACCCACTCAACCACTCAACCACTCACTCACTCACCCACTCAACCAACTAATCACTCAACCACATACTCACTCACTCACTCACTCAACCACTCACCCTCTCACCCACTCACCCACTCAACCACCCACTCAACCACCTAACTCACCTAATCACTCACTCAACCACCTCCTCTTTCACTGGTCGCTTCGCTCCCTCCTTCACCCCCTCCCTCACCTCCTCCGTCGGCGTCCTTCGCCCAAATCCTCATTTTCCACCTTCTCCCTCCGCCTCCCAAATCCTCTTACCTCCACCCATCTTCCTCCCTCATCGCCCTCTCTCGCCCCTTCACTTCCCTCACCCTGTCCACCCTCCTCCCTCACTGCCTCCTTCACCTAAAATCGCCTTTTTCCAAAATCTCCAAATCGCCCTCAAAATGTGCCTAAAATAATCCTTCAACATTTCTCAACTTCTTCACTTTCCTCTTATTAGCCCTCTGGTCGCTGTCGCTCCTGTACCTGCTGCACATCGCCGTCGTCCGCCTCGACGTCCTGAGGATACGCTCCCACCTGAGATCACCCGCAAGCCACCGCATCGCCGCGCAGTCCCTCCTCGCCGCCGCACGTGTCAAGGCACTCGCCAACGTCAAGTACTTCTCACCATAATCGTGCCTTCACGTGTGATCTGTGTATCACCCACTCACTCACCCACTCAACCACTCACATACTCACTCACACACCCACCCACTCAACCACTCAACCACTCACTTACTCACCTAATCACTCACCTCCTCCTTCACTGGTCGCTTCGCTCCCTCCCTCACCCTCCATCACCTCCTCCGTCGGCGTCCTTCGCCCAAATCCTCATTTTCCACTTTCTCCCTCCACCTCCGAAATTGCCTTACCTCAACCCATCTTCCTCCCTCATCGCCCTTTCTCGCCCCTTCACCTCCCTCACCCTGTCCACCCACCTCCCTCACTGCCCCTTGACCTAAAATCGCCTTTCCCCAAAATCCCCCAAATCGCCCTTAAAATGTGCCTAAAATAATCCTTCGACATTTCTCAACTTCTTCACATTCCTCTTGTTAGCCCTCTGGTCCCTCTCTTTGCTCTACCTGCTGCACATCGCCGTCGTCCGCCTCGACGTCCTGAGGATTCGCTCGCACCTGCGCTCGCCCTCAAGCCACCGCATCGCCGCGCAGTCCCTCCTCGCCGCCGCACGCGTCAAGGCACTCGCCAACGTCAAGTACTTCTCACCATAATCGTGCCTTCACGTGTGATCTGTGTATCACCCACTCACTCAACCACTCAACCACTCACACACCCACCCACTCACCCACCCACTCACTCACCCACTCACCTACTCAACCACTCAACCACTCAACCACTCAACCACTCACCCACTCACATACTCACCCACCCACCCACTCAACCACTCAATCACACACCCACCCACTCACCCACCCACTCACTCACCCACTCACCTACTCAACCACTCAACCACTCAACCACTCAACCACTCAACCACTCAACCACTCAACCACTCAACCACTCAACCACCTCACTCACCTCACTCACCCACTCACACACCAACTCACCCACTCACTCACCAACTCACTCACTCACCCTCCTTCACTGGTCGCTTCGCTCCCTGCCTCCATCACCCCTCCCTCACCTCCTCCGTCGGCGTCCTTCACCCAAAACCTCATTTCCCACCTTCCCCCTCCACCTCCTAAATCCCCTTACCTCATCCCATCTTCCTCCTTCATCACCCTCTCTCGCCCCTTCACCTCCCTCGCCCTGTCCACCCACCTCCCTCGCTCCCTCACCGCCTCCTTGACCTCAAATCGCCCTAATAATGTGCCTAAAATAATCCTTCAACAACATTATTAAATAACCTCTGCACAGGCCTCGAAAAATTTCTCGGCCACAGTAATGGTAATTACACCGGGGAAGGGATTGTGTACTCTGACCTTGACAGGCTCTGCGACGGGGTGATGTCTTTCCTTCATGGAGTTTTACATAGCATTAAGCCTAAATTGGGCCAGCATAAAGAGTCTATAAAACCGGCGATAGACTCTCTTAATCTTCATAAACACTCTGGCAAAGAGGGTTTTAATGCTGCGATTGGCGCAGTGGTGGAGGGGGTGGAGAGGTATAATGAGGGTGTGAGGGAGGGGAACAAGAATATTACAAGTCAAGTAGAAGAATTGTATAACTATGTCAAGCCAAAAGATGGTAAGTTAATTACACAGATTAATGATTTGCAGGACCCGGAAAATCCTCTTCACTTCGACTCGGCAGTGTTCACTGCCGATAATTTGGTTAAGCAGTGTGCTGCCAAATCTGATCACTTTGATAGAGAACTTAATAAAGCAACTAAGGACGTTAATGATCTTAATTTAGATTGCAAAACCAATGTAACTCACGCACAAAATAATGTTAAGCATGAGACAAAGCGGCTGGAAGAGGCGTCCGCCAAGGAACGTGAGGACCTGAAGGCGACGGAAGAAAAGATCAAGTCGACGCTTGACGGTGCCAGAGATTGCGTGAATAAAAAAATTAGAAAAGATGTAGAAGAGCTTGTGAAAACTTTTAGAGTTAAGGTGCAGAGTATTTTAAACCAGCTGAGGAAGATTGAAAGCAACCTGCGGCAGTACATAAGCAGGCTGGAGAAATGGATTAGCAGGGCGGAGCAATCGGTGACAGATGCTTTGGAGAGAATAAATAATATATTAAAAGGAGTGGATGAAAAGGATTCAGTCACACAGCCATATAAAATCAAGCATGCTGTAGAGCAGATTAAGACTGCGGTGACGATGCTTCACGGCGCTGGAGGGGATGCTGGGAAGGAAGTGAGGGAGGAAGTTGTAAATGCGCAGGAGCAATTGAAGCAGTTGGAAGAGGCGGTTCGGTATGATTTGAATCATGTGAAAACGCAGCTGCTGACCAAGCTTGCGGAATACGTTCAGGGGTATGTCACGGAAGTGCAAAAGCAAGTTGGGTTAATTAAGGACGGTGACAGCAGTAAAAGCGATGGTCTGCAGGGTATTAAAGAGAAGATAGTGAAGAATTATGCGGAGGGGTTTCAGAGTGAGGGGGCGTTTGAGGTTACGGTGAAGGGATGGATTTTGAAATCCTTGGAAATGGAGATGGTAAATAAGTGTCTTGAGGGATATATTAAGGATAGCCAGAACAAGGATCACCTGAAGCTGGAATATAAGACGGGGGGCAGCAGTGTAGATTATAAGGCGCTAAACAACAAAATCCGAGATCTGATTATGGCAAAGATAAAGGAAAAGGTTAGCAATTTTTGGGAAGAGCCAAGGAATACGATAGGTGTCGGCTCTAAAGACAGCATTCAAGGATATACAGACTATGTGAAGGAGGTATGTCAGAGCTTTGCAAAGAATCTCGGTGAAAAACTTAAAGAAGATAACATTAGTCACACAAACCACGTAGTTGGAAGCATAGTAGAGACGATTAAACAGGTTAAAGAACAGAGTACAGCTATATTCAACTCAGAACCTACTAACGACTATAATCTGTCTTTCGCTATCCGTTATGCCATGGCTGCCCTGCAATCTACCGCTCAGGAAGCGGCAAAGACTCTTGAACAATTCGCCATCACCAAAGGGAATGCAACGGCAAATCTCGCCACCAACTTGGACAAGGCGCTCAAAGTGGCTACCGATATGGACGGCGCTTTTGACACGGCGCTTGTCAAATACGGCGACAGCGGATATGACAAAGGCATCGCCTTCGACCCCTACGGTACCGCCCACAAGCAAACAGTCCAGCTGACTCACAACATTCACAGGACGATTAGTGACATTTTGAAGAACGAGGTCGGGGAGGACGGTACAGATAAGGATGTTGGTAAAGTAAAGCTTGACAATTTTACGTTGTCCTTCACCAATGCAAGGCACGGCGGCGAGGACAGAACCAAGAAAACAGCACTGACGAATGCCATCCGAAAAATACAAAGTGAGGTGGAGAACGCATTGACATCCATAACCCAATTCCATGGCTTTGCGAGCGAAGATATACAAAAGGTCACAGACAGTCTCACGGAGCTTTATAGAGCTCTCAAACACGAAGGCGAACAAGCCAAGTTGAATCTCAATGATTTGAAAGCAAAGCAAATCAACGGCCAACTGGATCATCTTAAAACAAAACTCAGTGACCTGCAAAATTTTAATTTAGTCGGAGCAATCCAGGACGCCGAGAAGTTCATGAAAAGTCTCGACTCATCCCTGGAACCTACAATCCAGCTGCTAGGAAACCATGTTAGAGATGAAGTTGCGTCAGCCGAAAAGACTCTCATCACCCATGCGCGGAAACAGTACGTTGACGCCGTAAAATTCCTGCTCGAAAAATTCGCGGACAGAGTTACTGGGGAACTGCAATCGTTGCCAGAACAGATTACGAAAGATTTGACAATTGGACACAAAGGCTTCATGGCGAAATTACATGACCATATTATGGTTAGAGTAGAAAGGATTAAATCAATAAATCCTGATGAGTTCACAATACAAGACTCTCCACTCAGCCAAGCATCTAAAACATTAAAAGGCGCGTTGAATTTGTTTATCATCAAGTTGCAAAATCAACCAGCATTCAAGGCAGACTTCAGCCAAATTAGGCCTTCCTACAACTCTCTCACCAACTTGCTCGCTAACCTCGAAAAATCGAAGCACTTCGACGATGACTTCCGTCAATATTTAGAGTTACTCCACAACGCTGTCACCGCTTTCAAGCCCTCCACGTACGGCGAAGCCAGGAGCCCTTCACTACTCAACGCTTTAAAGAAGGGCTTTTCCTCCCTGGCCTCCGAACTCCAGAGAGCGTACGTCTCGACATACTCGCAGCAGCAGATTAAGTGGGATGACATCAGTCAGGCAGAGAAAGAAAAGTACGCTAAAATCGCCTTGACCCTTACGCCTATCGTGTATCAAGAATTCACTGAGCTCAAAGATGGACTTGAAAAAGAGAGTTGGAAAACCCACAAAATTTATAACTCTTCTAACTCCAATAACAGTCTGCATAAATTATTCTTCGCTTACAACGGGTATGATGTTGGCCGCCCGGCCGAAAGCCCATATGGCGAGTTAAATCACAAAAAAGATTTCAATGGTAGTAATATTCTTGCACATCTTAATAATGAAAGACATAAGCTGTATAGTAAAATTACAACTCCCATCACCGTTATGTCTGATTCCCAAATCCAGTCGGATGAGCCTCCACTCACCATTGAAAAGGAAAACGGTGTCGTCCGACAACTATTTGATCACCTCAATAAATACTTCGGAGTCTGTCACTTAAATTACATTGACAAACCCAGGTCACCGTGTAGCATCTATGACATGTCCCTATGGCTCTCCGGCCTTCCGCATAATCCTGTTTACGAAAAGCTTAAGCAGCAGATTAAGACTATGTTCGAAGTGCCAAGTGAGACAGATCCTTCTCAGAAAATTGTTGCGCCCGTTAAAGCCTATCCACAACAGTTTACAGATGGTGAAATACATTCTGCACTTGAACATGTTACATCGCACGCGTACTCACTGCTGACTGGCGTCGTAGGGCATGGTGATGCTGAAACGTTCTATGCGTGTGAGTTCCCTAGCAACTCCCTTAGCTTGTATTATCCTGCCTCCGGCGCGGAGTGTCTCGACATGTTGCTTGATATACTACGTAGAATGTTCCCCGTCCTTACATTCTTACATACCCAGTGTAGCCTACGTGATAAGCACGGTGGTTGGCGCGACTGCTACTACGGCAAGGATATCAAGTCGTCCAAATTATCGTGTAACCACCATGTTACCGATAAAGCTACGTGCCAACCTATGTGCCAGGCAAACACCAAACCAAATTGCCAACCTACGTCGCCACTTATGTCTTACTTAAACGATAGCTTACATGGTCATTTGCCGCATGATGTAACCTCTGTTGGTTGCAAATCATCGTGCAACACCTGCCCCAAATCCACACCAGGAATGCCATGTCTCCCTCCCCTCGGCTTCAGAGCGTTCTCGAACAGTACGCATACAGGGAGAGACCTGTGTGAACTACTGGGTGAGTTGGTCGGTACGAGAGGATTACTAACCAAACTCCACTCTTTACTTACGTGTCTTCTCAACCGCCCACCGCAGTGGTTCCCTGATATATTCTCATTCTATTACCAAGTCGTCAGACCATGGAATTTGATGTCATCCAGAGTTAAACCATTAAATGTAATTCAACAAGCAATCGCCGACAAAATCACGTCTACCGTGGGCTGCGATTCTAGTGATGCTGTGTCGTTACTCGATTCATGTCGCAAAATGTATGACTCTCCATCGCACTTTTTGCATGACGTTAATAGTGGTTGCGATATTGGCTACCTTGTTGGCTGCGGTCAGTCCGATTGTGGTTACATCATGCGGCCGCTCAACGCATCGGCCTACTCCATGTTTGCTCCTAAGTTTGCCAGCAGTTATCTGTCGTGTCTGCTTTACGCTTGTTCAAATATTTACAACTTCCTCGATCAGCTGAAAAATTCTTTCTGCGACATTTCCTGCTACGATCACCAGTGTGGTCCATGCCTTAACAGTGCCGGTTGTGCAAAAGGCAAGCACGGCACAAAGCCATGTGGATGCTCATCCATTGTCCAGTGCCGAGGAGTCTCATCAGTGTTTTACAGGTATGGCTTAGCATATGCCGATGCCGCCGGCAGAAGCCAAATCAAATGTCAGGATTTCTGCGCAGCATTGGACAAAATATTGCAATCGCAAACGCTAAAGAATTTCTTGAGTGCCATCGATGAGTTCATGTTCACCGTCAGAAAAAATTTCATTTGGACATTACTAGGGCTTTGGGCATTTTCATTCCTCTACCTGCTGCACATCACCGTCGTCCGCCTCGACGTCCTGAGGATACGCTCCCACCTGAGATCACCCTCAAGCCACCGCATCGCCGCCCAGTCCCTCCTCGCCGCCGCACGCGTCAAGGCACTCGCCAACGTCAAGTACTTCTCACCATAATCGTGCCTTCACGTGTGATCTGTGTATCACTCACCCACTCACCCACTCACCCACTCACCTAATCACTCACTCAACCACCCACTCAACCACCCACTCACCCACTCACCAACTCACTCAACCACCCACTCACTCACCTAATCACCCACTCACTCAACCACTCAACCACCCACTCAACCACTCACTCAACCACTCAACCACTCAACCACTCACCCACTCACTCACCCACCCACTCAACCACTCACCCACCAACTCACATACTCACTCACCCACTCACATACTCACTCACCCACTCACTCAACCACCCACTCAACCACTCACTCACCCACTCAACCACTCACCCAACCACTCACTCACTCACTCACCCACTCACCTCCCCTTTCACTGGTCGCTTCGCTCCCTGTCTTCCTCCTCCATCACCTCCTCCGTCGGCGTCCTTCACCCAAATCCTCATTTTCCGCCTTTCCCCCTCCACCTCCGAAATCCCCTTATTCCAACCCATCTTCCTCCCTCATCGCCCTCTTTGCCCCTTCACTTCCCTCACCCTGTCCACCCACCTCCTCGCTGCCTCCTTGACCTAAAATCGCCTTTCCCCAAATTCCACCAAATCGCCCTAAAAATGTGCCATTTCACCTCCTCTAATTGTTCTCTAACCTTTTTTCCCACTTTCTTTTCTCACCTCTCTTGGCCTCCTTCGTCGGCCTCCATCGACTGGTTGATCCAGGTTAAGCATGGGAATGGTGAGAAAGGTGATGGTCTTAAGAACTTGGCTGATCCTTTGAAAAAGTTGATTAATGATGCTATTTAAAAGGCTGAAAGGAGTCTTAAAGAGAGGGAAAATCAACTGGAATGTCCCGAAAAATGCTATTCTGACCCTAGTAACTCCTACTGTAAGTCTAAGCAGGATGAAATTGATAAGCTTCAAAATTCTGAAGATGAATCTGCCAAATCTAAAAATGAATCAACAATATCTAAGCTTAAAAAGGAAAAGGATGACCATTACAACGAAGTTCATTACCTTACTGAGGATGCCAGAAAAAGAGCCTTAGGGGATATAAAGGAGAGGCAGAAGACTCTGGATGGTCTTAAAAAAAATCTTGAAGCTTTTATTGGCAAAGAGAATGAAGTTAATCCTGCAAAAAACCTTTTAGAAAATCTCACTGAAGGTTTGGAAAAGTTTTTAGGTTACAATAAAGACTCCAAAGGCTACTCGGGTGATGGCATCGTGTACTCGGACCTTGACAGGCTCTGCGACGGGGTGATGTCTTTCCTTCATGGAGTTCTCCAAAGTGTGAAGGAGGATGATAACGTTACAACGTACAATAAACATATTACTCAGAATAATTTAGATAATGTTCTTCGTGATGTATTTTCTAAAATTGGCACTGGGCGTAATGGGCTTTCGGACTCTGTCACCAAGGTGAAGGAGTGGTTGGAGAAATATAATGATGAAGTAGAAAAGAAGACAAGAGGAGTGACCGATGGATTATCTGCACTTATAGGTAAGTTGCGTAGTGATGTTTCATCTGGTGTTGCAGGGAATGAGTATTACAAGAGCGTTGAAGGCGAGGCGACCAAGGATCTCGGGACCCAGTTGGCAAGGTGGAAGGGGACACTGGGGAGCATCGACAGTGATGTTCAAAGTATTGCAAACATACAAATTAATGACTTAGACGACACACTTAAAGCACAACTAACGCACAAATTAGATCCAGTTAAGAAAGTGGTAGAGCACCTGAAAGGTGTTGCCACCAGTATGATATCTAGCGGCCTGGTGAAGGCTGTAGATAGTGCAATTACTGAGAAGGAAACGCTTGTCAAAGAGCGAATTAAAGCAAAATCGCAAGAGCTGAGAGAGACGTTGACAACTAATTTTACCACAATAGATGAAAGAATTCGGGCATTCGAAACTGCGCATAACGGTCAGTTGGTGCCCTTGGTAGGACTGGTCAAGCAGTTGACTATAAGTGTAGAGCAGGCCAATAAGGCGGCGCTTAAGTTGGACGATGATTATAATAGTGAGATTGTTGGGAAGTTGCAGGGAATTGACAAGCAGGTCACGGCGCTTGACACTAAAGATATTACTAATGGGTTTCAAACGATCTTCGCTACGGTTAGTGAGCAGTTGGGGACGCTTCACCAGAAGCTGGAGGAACTTGGTGGACTTGGTCAGAAGGTTACTATTACGGTGGAGAAAAATCTGCCATATTTCGAGACCGGAGGTGATCCAGATATGAATGTGAGTGCGCAGATCACGAAGCTGAAGGAGGAGATTAGAAAGGAAATTACCAATTATGTAAAAAATGGCTTGGGAGATATTATTAGGTTGGCGATTAAAGGAAAAACAGATTTGGTTGCGAATTCGAAGAACCATCCAGATGGTTCCCTGGATCAGATTGTTGGGGCAGTTAAAGTTTACGCTGAGAAGTTCACGCAGGGGAAATTTGAGAGCGAAACACTGCCTGGTTGGATTGGTGCTATTTTAAGAAGTGGAGCTGTTGATCATAGGCTTGGGGCGTATATCGGCAGGAACAACAGTCGTTTTAATAACAAACTGGAGCATATTAAAAGTGGCAGTGACAGTAGATTACATGATGTAGTTAAGCAGCAGATTATTCAGGAGCTGAAGAAAAAAATGTCTGCAGACTTCCCCTCCTATACGGCTAAAGCTAAGGAAGGAATTGAACAAATTGTAGCCTATGTTCAGGCGGCCTGCGAGAAATTTGCAACGCAGCTTAATGTGAAGATTAAGAATAGGGTGGGGGGTATTAGTTCGTCTGAGATAGCCAAGGAAGTTGAGACAAATGGGAAGGATGGCATTCTCACCGACAAAAGAAATCCCACCAACGATTCAGATTTAACGCTTGCCGTAGACGGCATCCTCCCTAAACTCGCCTCCAAAGCGAGGACAGCTGCCGCAAAATTGGGATGGCTCATCGGCAGCGGTGATACCGATGGCAAAATAGGTAACGTGGAGGCGGCTATAAGAGTTGTCAATAGTCTCGGTGACCATCTCGCTGGGGAAATTAAAAAGACTGACTCACCCTCTCAAGGCCAAACGAATCTCGGCTACGACATCCAAGCCAAGTTAGGCACTGCAGCAACCAACGGCGAAGTCGACACGAAGCTCGGCGAACTCCTTGAGAAAGCTGTAAAAAATGGCATAAATAAATTAGATGCTCAAGTGAAAAGAATCGTTGGTGACCTTAGCAGTGTCCATCCTACGATTGAAAAAGCAATTGGCAGGGTGAGCAACACACCAAACGGCGGCCATCCAAACGATATTTACCAAGCCGTCCAAAATCTTCACCAACAGATCGAAAGGCTCAAACCTGTAGTCATCGAAGTAAATAACAGCGCCCAAGTTAACATAAAACACCAGGTGACAAACATGAAAAAGCATGTTGCTGGTATGCTGGCGGCCATAACAGAAATAAATAATAATATTGGGTCCATTAATACAGCTTTGAAACAAGCCATTGAGGAGGCGCAGAAATCTGTTGCCACAGCCCGCGAACAACTCGGTGAGCTTATTACCACAACGGAAACTGAGCTCACTCAACAAGTCAACACAGCCTTCACCACCGTCCACACCGCCGCGAAAACCATGTTCAACCAAAGTCATAAGGCGGACTTGGCGCAGCTTAAGGAATTAATAAATGCGCAAAAAACTGTTATCGAAGGCATTATAGATGAGGATAAAAAGAAAGGTCTGAAAGGCCTGCTGAAGGAGATGTACGGTGACGACGGAAGTAAACTGGAGGAATTTAAAAGTTATAATGATCCGAAAATTCCTGCACATTTCGGAGACCTGTCTAGCAAACTAAAAGACTATTTAGAACTCATTTTCACATACATCAAGGGACAACTCAACACTCCAAGTTCGTCGCCACCCAACTCCACAACCAAGGAGCCAACCAAAATGCTGGGTGAAGTGCAAAGTAAACTCGGCAATTTGCTTACTCATCTTGGCACAGCGAAACATTTTGATAGTCTATTCGTATTGCGCTTAGAATCGTTTTCCACTGAACTTGGCAAATTCACGCCGTCTCAATTCGCCGGCCCAAATAACTCTAAGCTGCTCGACTCACTTAGAGATGGGCTGCAGAAATTGTGTGATCAGCTGGACAAGGCGTACGTGTCGGCGTACTCGGGAGACTACTGGAATGGCAATAACAAAAACAAGTATGCTAATGTTTTCTGTACTATAATGCATACGTTCCGTAGAGATTTTGATGAGTTGCGTGATGGGTTGTCAGGTGCCATGTATGACAAGTCGATTCATCTAGCCAACAGTAACTCCCTCGGCAGCTTTTTCAAGGGCTGCAATTACAACGTGTCGAAAACCACTGGCAAACAAGGTGGCGAATTGAAAAATGACGTGGATGGTAAAACGATATATGGGCTTCTTGTCTCAGATGATGAAAAGCATGTTTACAAAAAACCTTACAAGGGCCCTGTTATAGATTTGCACCGTCACATAAGAACATACTACACCGCCTGCCATCTTACATTACACGACTCACCTAAATACCCTTGTTCCATCAGAGACATGTTATCCTGGTTGACGGGCCTTCCTTACACTGCAGTCTATCAGGGCATTAAGACACACTGTAACACGATGCTTAAGAAGGAGATCACAGACGCTGAGAAAAAATCGCAGCCTGCGGATCCCGTAATCAGTAAAATCCTTCAGAACACATTACATGATAACCTAAATCACACGATAAAAAATGCATACAACGTACTCACAACTATATGTGGGAACGGACGTGGCTCCGATCATGCTGACTACCCTTATGCGTGCTACTTCCTAAACAATTCCCGCGGTTTCCACTATCCTGGCAGCGTTTCAAGTCTGTTCGATATGTTAAAGGAAATCTGTAGTCGGTTGCTGTGTTCCCTGAACCTATTGTATAGCGTGTGTCGTACTCCCGCCAAATACCGTGGCTGGAATGACTGTCCATACGGGCAGGACGTTTCCGGTTACCAATGGGATTGCCATGATTCATCACACTCCGGTAGGGAGTGTCTTCCAAAATCACGTCTCCAGGCTCATTTAATGGACGGTATGCCCGGTTGTCTACCACATAAATTGACATCTGTCGGTTGTAAATCAGTCTGCTCTACCTGTCCCAAATCATCTGCTGGCGAACAGTGCATCACACCTATGGGCTTTGTGGATTTACCTAACGCGGCGTCCATTAAAGGCACCGGAAATGATATATTTAAAGCTCTCAGCATTTTATGCAAAGATGCTGGCTGTCCGTTGCCTACGTTGCTTCGATGTCTGGCGTCAGTAAATCCATATCCTCCCAGAAGTCTTGGCGATATGTTGTCTCTCTACTGCCAAGTTTTCCAAAAACATGACGGGAAGTATATTCATAACGCCGAAATTAAAAGGCACCTTGAAAACGTTACGATTTCGGACAGCTTCCCACTGTCAGCCTCCCTTCATGGTGATTATCCAGTGACAAAACTAACCAGTGCACTGCAAAAATTGCACTATTCTTCAGGTGATCACCTTATAACTCCTAATGCCAAGGCTACAAACCAATGTCATGCTGATCTGTGGAGCCTATCTACAATGTCTACATGCCAGGCGACAAAATCATGTGCTCCATACCTCCACCCACTCGGAAAGAATGCTTACCACACCCTTCCTAAAAAACACGCAGCATTGTATCTTTCATGGTGCTGTTATTTGGCCTGGGAGTTTTGGGACTTGCTGCAACAGTTACTGAATAGTTTCAAAAATATCGCTTGCAAATCATTCGGGTGTCCTTGCAAATGTCCACCCGGCAAACATGGAGTCACGGAGGAAAGTTCTACAAAACCAGGCTGCCACTGTGATTCCATCGTTGACTGCACAGGTGTCCTCTCGGTGTTCTACCAATACGGACTCACATTCCGTGTACCTGCTACGTTATATGCACACAATACCAGGCGGACGTGTGATGATTTTGTTAAACAATTACATAAAGTGCTGTACGACGGATACTTCAAGAAGCTGTTTGAAGAAATCGACGAATTCATCTGGGCAATTCGCACACCCTTCTCATACCTCTTATTAGCCCTCTGGTCGCTGTCGCTCCTGTACCTGCTGCACATCGCCGTCGTCCGCCTCGACGTCCTGAGGATACGCTCCCACCTGAGATCGCCCTCAAGCCACCGCATCGCCGCCCAGTCGCTCCTCGCCGCCGCACGCGTCAAGGCACTCGCCAACGTCAAGTACTTCTCACCGTAATCGTGCCTTCACGTGTGATCTGTGTATCACCCACCCACTCACCCACTCACCTAATCACCCACTCACTCACTCAACCACTCAACCACTCAACCACTCAACCACTCACCTAATCACCCACTCACTCACTCACTCACTCACCCACTCACCCACTCACCCACTCAACCACTCAACCACTCAACCACTCACTCAACCACTCACTCAACCACCCACTCAACCACCCACTCAACCACCCAATCTCCCACTCAACCACCCACTCACCCACTCACTCACTCAACCACTCACTCACTCACCCACTCACCCACCCACACACTCACTCAACCACCCACCCACTCAACCACTCACCCACCCACTCACCCACCTACTCACCCACCCACTCACCTTATCACTCACTCAACCACCCACTCACTCACCCACTCACCCACTCAACCACTCAACCACTCACCCACTCACTCACATACTCACCCACTCACATACTCACCCACTCACTCACTCACTCACCTAATCACTCACTCAACCACCACTCACCCACTCAACACTCACATACTCACCACTCACTCACTCACTCACCTAATCACTCACTCAACCACCCCACTCACTCACTCCACTCACCTAATCACTCACTCAACCACCCACTCAACCACTCAACCACCCACTCACCCACTCAACCACCCACTCACCCACTCAACCACTCACCAACTCACTCCCACACCTACTCACTCACTCACCCACTCACTCAACCACTCAACCACTCAACCACTCAACCACCCACTCACTCAACCACTCAACCACTCACTCACCCACTCACTCAACCACCCAACCACCCACTCACCCAACCACCCACTCACTCAACCACTCAACCACTCACTCACCCACTCACTCACCTACTCACCCCTCACTCACTCAACCACCCACTCACTCAACCACCCACTCAACCACCACTCAACCACTCAACCCAACACTCAACACTCAACTTCAACCACTCCACTCACTCAACCACCCACTCAACCACTCAACCACCACCCACTCCTCACTCAACCACTCAACCACTCACTACTCACCTAATCACCTTTTCCTTCACTGGTCGCTCCGCTCCCTCCTCCCTCTCCCCTCCATCACCTCCTCCGTCGGCGTCCTTCACTCGAAATCCTCATTTTCCACTTTCTCCCTCCACCTCCAAAATCGCCTTACCTCATCCCATCTTCCTCCTTCATCGCCCTCTTTCGCCCCTTCACTTCCCTCACCCTGTCCACCCACCTCCCTCGCTGCCTCCGTCACCTAAAATCGCCTTTCCCCAAATTCCACCAAATCGCCCTGAAAATGTGCCTAAAAGAATCCTTCAACATTTCTCAACTTCTTCACTTTCCTCTTATTAGCCCTCTGGTCGCTGTCGCTCCTGTACCTGCTGCACATCGCCGTCGTCCGCCTCGACGTCCTGAGGATTCGCTCGCACCTGCGCTCGCCCTCAAGCCACCGCATCGCCGCCCAGTCCCTCCTCGTCGCCGCACGCGTCAAGGCACTCGCCAACGTCAAGTACTTCTCACCGTAATCGTGCCTTCACGTGTGATCTGTGTATCACCCACTCAACCACTCAACCACTCAACCACTCAACCACCAACTCACCCACTCACCCACCCACTCACTCACCCACTCACTCACCTACTCACCCCTCACCCACTCAACCACCCACCCACTCACCTACTCACTCACCCACTCAACCACCCACTCAACCACCCACTCAACCACCCACTCACACACTCACCCAACCACTCACCTAATCACCCACTCACTCACTCACATACTCAACCACCCACTCAACCACCCACTCAACCACCCAACCACTCACCCACTCACTCACACACTCAACCACTCACTCAACCACCCACTCACCTAATCACTCACCCACTCACTCAACCACTCAACCACTCACACACCCACTCACTCACCCACTCACTCAACCACTCAACCACTCACACACCCACTCACTCACCCACTCACCCACCCACTCACTCACCCACTCACTCACCCAACCACTCACCCACTCACTCACACACTCAACCACTCACTCAACCACTCAACCACTCACTCACTCACCCACCCACTCAACCACCCACTCACCTAATCACTCACCCACTCACTCAACCACTCAACCACTCACCCACTCACCCAACCACTCACCCACTCACTCACACACTCAACCACTCACTCAACCACTCAACCACTCACTCACTCACCCACCCACTCAACCACCCACTCACCTAATCACTCACCCACTCACTCACCCACTCAACCACTCACACACCCACTCACTCACCCACTCACCCACCCAACCACTCACATACTCACCCACCCACTCAACCACTCAACCACTCAACCACCCACTCAACCACTCACTCAACCACCCACTCACTCACTCAACCACCCACTCAACCACCCACTCAACCACCCACCTAATCACCCACTCAACCACCCACTCAACCACTCACCCACTTACCCACCCACTCACTCACTCACCTAATCACCCACTCACTCACCCACCCACTCACCCACTCAACCACTCACCCACCCACTCACTCACACTCAACCACTCAACCACTCACTCACTCAACCACTCACTCACTCAACCACCTAACCACCCACTCACTCAACCACCCACTCACTCACCCACCCCCCTCTTTCACTGGTCGCTTCGCTCCCTGCCTCCATCTCCTCCTCCATCACCTCCTCCGTCGGCGTCCTTCGCCCAAATCTTCAATTTCCAAAAAATTCCTTTGACCTCTAAAACCGCCTCACCTCAACTCATCTTCCCCCTTCATCGCCCTCTTTCGCCCCTTCACCTCCCTCACCTTGTCCACCCGCCTCCCTCGCTGCCTCGCTGCCTCCTTGACCTAAAATTGCCTTTCTCAAAAAATTCTAAAATTCTCCAAAAGTGTCCCATTCCACCTCCTTTTTAATATTAATGATGCCTATCAATCTCCTAAAAATGCCTCTGAAATTGACAAACATAATAAGGATCTTCAGTCTCATCAGGCTTCCTTGGCGTCTCTTGAGACACTGGAAGAGCTTTGTGGATATGCTGAGAAAATTAATAAAAATCTTGTTGACGATCAAAGTTGTAAAAACCTTTTAGAAAATCTTTGTGGAGGCCTCGAAAAATTTCTCGGCTACCATGATGGTAATTACACCGGAGAAGGAATTGTGTACTCCGACCTTGACAGGCTCTGCGACGGGGTGATGTCTTTCCTTCATGGAGTTCTTGGCACTGTGAAAAATGATGAGAGCGTTAAGAAATATGATGGTTACATTAAATTATCAAATATTAATGATGGTTTAGATAATGTTCTCTCCACTTTACGATCTAAAATTGGCGCCGGGCGTGATGGCCTTTCGGAGTCTGTCACCAAGGTGAAGGAGTGGTTGGGGAATTATAATGATGAAGTTGAAAAGAAGACAAAAGCAGTGACTCAAGGATTATCTGCACTTATAGGTAAGTTAAATAATGGGTCTCATGTTGTTGCAGGTGTTGATAATGAGTATTACAAGAGCGTTGAAGGCAAGGCGTCCAAGCCGCTGCAGGAGCAGTTGGAGGGATGGAAGAATATAATCCCTCGCATTTTTGACGAGGTTGTCACTATAGAAACTAAGCACATTAATATGTTAGACAGTAAATTACATGATAAATTGATGCATGAGACTAAGCCTATTAAAGAGGCCATTAAAATGCTGAGCAAGTCAGCTGAACAGAAGAAATTCGTTGATCAGATCAGATTGGTAGATGAGACATTAGAAAAACAAGAAAAGGACGTTAAAAATAGAATAGATGAAGAATCAAAAGAACTTAAGTTGAAGTTGGTTAACCAGAGAGATAGATTGCTAGCAGAAATTAAGGAGGAATTTCCTAAGGTGGAAAAGATGTTGGAACACGAATTTCACAAAATCGGTAAAATAGTCAAAAGTTTGGAAAAGATTGAAAAGGAACAGTTTAAGGATATAAAAGAGGCGTTGAAGGCGGTTAACAATTTTATGGATACTGATTTTTATAGGAACCATACATATGTCATAAAAGGATTTATATATGATATTAAAACGGCACTATGTGATGTAGATAGGGAGAATGAGAAGGCCGGTGCCGATCGTGGCAAGTCCAAGCTTCATCAAGATGTTTTGGCTCTTCAGCAGCAGGTTAACCAGATTGGAGAACAGCTGAAGGGGAAGGATGAGGAGTTGACAGCATGGAATGCTGCCGGTGCGGAGGCCGTCAAACTGGCGAAGCAGAAGTGTGATGAGATAGTCAAGAAGTTGGATGGTCAACGTCATGGTAATGACGACAATGGAGAAAGAGGTAAGGTACAAAAGGCCGTAAGAAAGCTACAGCACGATGCTTGTATTCTTTGGAAAGCCGTTGTTTCTGCTAAGCAGGGGCTTAATGGCTTGGCTGGGAGTATTAAGTCGGAGGTTGCGGCGTTGGACAAGTGCATTAAAGCAGACTTGGAGACGCTGAAAGG